TTTTGGGGCAATTTTTTCCTTTTTTTTCTTGAATGGAGAACAAATTTTTTTACTCCCCCCCCCCCCTCTTCCCCCCTTTCTCCCTCTCTCTATCTCTTTCTCTCCGACATTTGTCACATTCATTTTTCTTCAGTATGCTGCTCTTTTATCATCATTTTACTGCAATTGGAGAGTGTGTTTGCCTCATCAATTTATGTGTTCTGTTACAGCGTATGGCGTTGATATGCTGAATACCATTGGCTATATATATGCAAGGCAGGCAGCAAAGGAGCTTGGAAAGAAGGTGATGTATCTGGGAGTGCCATTCGTTGCTGAGTGGTTCAGAAACAAAGGACACTTTATAAAATCCCAAGTAACTGCTGCAACAGGTTAGTTATCATGTGCTGTTTTGACGAGAAGCTGATTTTGCTTGGTTTCTATATTTTTACTCGGATAAAATATTTTGCCTTGTTTAGTTACCCTGTCGTGTATCTAATTCAAAATCAAATGTCCGAAACTGGCTCTATGGCCATGATACCTAGGTTCTACTTGGTTTTGGAGGTTTGAAATGAATTGTAAACTGTGTACCAATAAAACAAGACCTGAGATAGAGAATTTGTTGATCAGAGGACATAGTGTACAAGCCGCGAATATTATGTCCTCTGTTTATGTACAACAAACAACTTAATTGTCATGCTACCTGTGTTCTTACCAGATACTTTCATTAGTTCTTTTGCAAATCTTTAAAGGTGTTATAACTTAAACTACAATTTCATATAATACTAATTACAATTTTTAATTAAAGCTGAAGAATTTCTACATTCCTTTTGTTTTTAAGATTCAAAGAGATACAGTTTCTTTTTCTTTCTTCTATTTCTTTTGTTTCACTGGGGTGAGATCTACAATTATATAGCTGAAAGGAGCTAAATCTGACCCTTGATCATGCCAATATGGGTCAGGGCTAACCAACGGCGCAAAACATTTGTGCCCATATTGACGGATAAAAGTTATCTTAGTCTTGGGAAAACCAATCACATTATCCTTCCAAAACCAGGTGGGACAATTTAGTACAAGCTGCCAATCAAGATATGATATTTGTTGTGTCCAATCCATGGTCCATAGATCCATGGCTCACCCACAATTCAGGATTACGATAGCACAAGATTTGTGGCTTTTGATACTGCCCGCTATAATTTGAGTCAGATCCTTCTCCCTGCCAATTGTTCGGATTGCTTATGCCCATATCGACAGGTAGAAGATGCATATATATCAATATAAACCAGTCATATGACTCATATTATCCTATTGCAACCAACATGGGTGGTGATTACATCAGAAAGATGTGAGATCTTATCTTGATTATTCTTGGGCTTTATCTTTAAATTTCGATAATTAGATAGTTTCTTTTGCTTATGAGTTCTCAATTTACTCATGCATGGCCTGTGGCCAGGTTTTTAGTTTCAGTTGCATAGTTAAAATATATTCTTACCATAGGCCTTGTTATTATACACATTAGTTTGACAAAAATTTCCAGTTATTTGGTTCTGTTGTACTCAATTCAATATAAATATTCCATATTTATCTGTGCTGGCTATATGGGTCTTCTTCCCTTCTCAATTTGTAAAATTGATGATCCCAGTTCATACAGAGCCAACATGTCATGATGTTGTTAGGTTATTAATTTCCTTCTCTCGAGCTTTGGACTAGATGTATTAACAGAATTGTTTTTTATTTAATTATTTTGTAGTATTTTTATGGAACTAAATTAATTTATAATTTTCATAGGTGCAATAGCTTTGCTCCAGCTACAAGAAGACATGAAGCGGCATCTTAGTGAAGAAGGAAACTACACTGAGGAGGAACTTGAAAAATACATGGAATCCAACAAGAAGTTGATGACTGATTCCCTCTGGAAGCTTAATGTAGCTGATATTGAAGCGACACTCTCCCGTGTTTGTCAGATGGTTGTTTTCAGGACTTGAACTTTTGGTTAACTGTTTTTTGTCTCATCTCAATTTCTCCATTATGATGTATTATGATTTCCTTAGGTTCTCCAAGAAAACAATGTGAAGAGAGAGGATCTTCGTCTACGAGCAAAGGGTTTAAAAACTTTGGGCAAAATTTTTCAGGTAATATATATGCCCAAAGTTCTCGTCATTTTCCCTTCATATAAAGTATTGCATTCATTAAAATGTAAATGTTTTTCGTATGCTTCAGAGAGTGAAGACAGACAATGGGAATGACAGTATACCAAACGACCCTGTCCATAAGTTGTATGGGAGTGAACCAAGTAACAATGCTTCTTCTTTTAACACATCAGAAGGATCGCCAAAAGATGAAGAGGTGTCTCACAACGCATTAGCATCCCAGGTAGTGCTTTCGTTTCCCCCATAAACTCTCTCTCTCTCTGTGGAAAAGGTGAAAATTAAAACAGCTTCTGCTAAAAAAGTTCATCTGTTTTAGATAGAGAAACTTTTTTCTTGAATAAGATGATTTTGCTCACCCACCACCACAACATGCACACTAGAAAAAGGAAGAAGAAAAATCCAATCAAAGGAAAAAAGATAAAATGGAAAATGAAAAAGGGTAAGTGTTCCAAAAAGCTCTGATGCTCTAACTTTTCGAAATGGTTGAAGTACCTGTGTCGAATACGACACGAGTATGGGTATGAGATATATGTCGGATCCTTCAAGTTTTAATTGGACATTTTGCCCTTTTGCTTCTTCTCTTTTATTTTTTATTTTATTCCCCCCCCC